ATTCAATTGTATTGCAACTCATCTGGGATTGTATTATACAGATATTAATTGACAAGTGAAATTTAAATATACGCCAAAATATACATAAAGATTTATAAAATATATTATGACGAAGGAAGGTGGTTGGTCGGTTTAGAATGTTAAGGATTTGGGTGTTCAAGAGTTTTTATTTCAATTTAGATTTGCTGATAAAAATAAAGCATACAAAAGTCCAAAATATGATAAAAAAGTAAACTTTTACCATCTTGTTTCTTTACTTTAGTTTAAAGTCTCCGACGTAACTGAGATCAAACTAGGGGTATAGAGACAATGGTTAAACCCACTAACCTTAGGATCCAATTCAATCTTCTTGTACACATTGCCCTTGACAATATAAATGCAATCCTTTTCATTTTCGTCACTACAACACATGATTAGGCTATTTTCGTAGAAATGATCGATGAAGTAACTTGGATAAGAGCCCTTAGAAGTAGGTATTGAAACTGTCATGAAATTCATCCACACGACATTCTCACCATCCTCATTAATCTTGTCTTTTGTCACCCAAATCTCGATCTTATCTGTTCTAAAGAATTTCCTTAACACTGAAAGTCGACCTCCCCTAAAAACAGAGAAGACTGCATTATAAGAAGAAGAATCATCCTTCCACGGCAGAACGGAAAAGGTTTTGAATATCTCCTTGGAAAAATCGAAACTTTGGATGAGATACTCATTCGTTTCGAGATTATAAGCATGCCAATACAAAGTTCCATTTAAAGACACATAATCAGAATAATTTCTTATGGAGGCCTCTTCCTCGGAAGGGGCATTAATACATTTCCACGCATTGGTTTCGAACTCGTAGAAGGCAAATCTATTGTATAATTGGCATGTATGGCCATTTAGTTTTCTTCGAGCTAAACCAAACCCAAAGATCTTGTGACCCTTATCGGGTCTACCACTATCATATCCTATGCTATAAAACCTGAAATTTTCTTTCTCGATCCATCTAGTCTGTCTTAACCACGGGTTCCAAACCGCGGCTCCATTCCACGACCACGAGGTACAAAACAATAAGCCATCACAAGAATTAATGCGGATAGGCATATAGTTATCTGGATAAGGTATATGTAAAGGTAACTCACGCATGTCTATCGTTGGATCATCATTGAGATTGACACATACCGAATAAATCTTGGAATTGGTATATAAGAGGAACTGAGGACGGACTAGAGCCAGGTGATTGGTTATGAACGTCTTATCGTTGAAAAGTGCATTCCATTGTTTGCAAACGGTTCTGAGTCTCGTAAGGGTTAGAGGCGGAACACGATAGAGTATCTCTTCCACCAATTCCCTTGGGAGCTTTTCTTGCGTCATTTGGTTCTCGATTGAATAGTGAAGTTA